AGACAACCCTCTCATCAGTCATGTCACACATGGAGACAACCCTCTCATTAGTCATGTCACACATGGAGAGATGACAACCCTCTCATCAGTCATGTCACACATGGAGACAACCCTCTCATCAGTCATGTCACACATGGAGACAACCCTCTCATCAGTCATGTCACACATGAAGACAACCCTCTCATCAGTCATGTCACACTTGGAGACAACCCTCTCATCAGTCATGTCACACATGGAGACAACCCTCTCATCAGTCATGTCACACATGCAGACAACCCTCTCATCAGTCATGTCACACATGGAGAGATGACAACCCTCTCATCAGTCATGTCACACATGGAGAGATGACAACCCTCTCATCAGTCATGTCACACATGGAGACAACCCTCTCATCAGTCATGTCACACATGGAGACAACCCTCTCATCAGTCATGTCACACATGGAGACAACCCTCTCATCAGTCATGTCACACATGGAGAGATGACAACCCTCTCATCAGTCATGTCACACATGGAGACAACCCTCTCATCAGTCATGTCACACATGGAGAGATGACAACCCTCTCATCAGTCATGTCACACATGGAGAGATGACAACCCTCTCATCAGTCATGTCACACATGGAGACAACCCTCTCATCATGCCACACATGGAGACAACCCTCTCATCAGTCATGTCACACATGGAGACAACCCTCTCATCAGTCATGTCACACATGGAGACAACCCTCTCATCAGTCATGTCACACATGGAGAGATGACAACCCTCTCATCAGTCATGTCACACATGGAGAGATGACAACCCTCTCATCAGTCATGTCACACATGGAGACAACCCTCTCATCATGCCACACATGGAGACAACCCTCTCATCAGTCATGTCACACATGGAGACAACCCTCTCATCAGTCATGTCACACATGGAGACAACCCTCTCATCAGTCATGTCACACATGGAGAGATGACAACCCTCTCATCAGTCATGTCACACATGGAGAGATGACAACCCTCTCATCAGTCATGTCACACATGGAGAGATGACAACCCTCTCATCAGTCATGTCACACATGGAGAGATGACAACCCTCTCATCAGTCATGTCACACATGGAGAGATGACAACCCTCTCATCAGTCATGTCACACATGGAGACAACCCTCTCATCAGTCATGTCACACATGGAGAGATGACAACCCTCTCATCAGTCATGTCACACATGGAGAGATGACAACCCTCTCATCAGTCATGTCACACATGGAGACAACCCTCTCATCAGTCATGTCACACATGGAGACAACCCTCTCATCAGTCATGTCACACATGGAGACAACCCTCTCATCAGTCATGTCACACATGGAGAGATGACAACCCTCTCATCAGTCATGTCACACATGGAGACAACCCTCTCATCAGTCATGTCACACATGGAGACAACCCTCTCATCAGTCATGTCACACATGGAGACAACCCTCTCATCAGTCATGTCACACATGGAGACAACCCTCTCATCAGTCATGTCACACATGGAGACAACCCTCTCATCAGTCATGTCACACATGGAGACAACCCTCTCATCAGTCATGTCATACATGGAGAGATGACAACCCTCTCATCAGTCATGTCACACATGGAGAGATGACAACCCTCTCATCAGTCATGTCACACATGGAGAGATGACAACCCTCTCATCAGTCATGTCACACATGGAGAGATGACAACCCTCTCATCAGTCATGTCACACATGGAGAGATGACAACCTCTCATCAGTCATGTCACACATGGAGAGATGACAACCCTCTCATCAGTCATGTCACACATGGAGACAACCCTCTCATCAGTCATGTCACACATGGAGACAACCCTCTCATCAGTCATGTCACACATGGAGAGATGACAACCCTCTCATCAGTCATGTCACACATGGAGAGATGACAACCCTCTCATCAGTCATGTCACACATGGAGAGATGACAACCCTCTCATCAGTCATGTCACACATGGAGAGATGACAACCCTCTCATCAGTCATGTCACACATGGAGAGATGACAACCCTCTCATCAGTCATGTCACACATGGAGACAACCCTCTCATCAGTCATGTCACACATGGAGAGATGACAACCCTCTCATCAGTCATGTCACACATGGAGACAACCCTCTCATCAGTCATGTCACACATGGAGACAACCCTCTCATCAGTCATGTCACACATGGAGAGATGACAACCCTCTCATCAGTCATGTCACACATGGAGAGATGACAACCCTCTCATCAGTCATGTCACACATGGAGACAACCCTCTCATCAGTCATGTCACACATGGAGAGATGACAACCCTCTCATCAGTCATGTCACACATGGAGACAACCCTCTCATCAGTCATGTCACACATGCAGACAACCCTCTCATCAGTCATGTCACACATGGAGAGATGACAACCCTCTCATCAGTCATGTCACACATGGAGAGATGACAACCCTCTCATCAGTCATGTCACACATGGAGACAACCCTCTCATCAGTCATGTCACACATGGAGACAACCCTCTCATCAGTCATGTCACACATGGAGACAACCCTCTCATTAGTCATGTCACACATGGAGAGATGACAACCCTCTCATCAGTCATGTCACACATGGAGACAACCCTCTCATCAGTCATGTCACACATGGAGACAACCCTCTCATCAGTCATGTCACACATGAAGACAACCCTCTCATCAGTCATGTCACACTTGGAGACAACCCTCTCATCAGTCATGTCACACATGGAGACAACCCTCTCATCAGTCATGTCACACATGCAGACAACCCTCTCATCAGTCATGTCACACATGGAGAGATGACAACCCTCTCATCAGTCATGTCACACATGGAGAGATGACAACCCTCTCATCAGTCATGTCACACATGGAGACAACCCTCTCATCAGTCATGTCACACATGGAGACAACCCTCTCATCAGTCATGTCACACATGGAGACAACCCTCTCATCAGTCATGTCACACATGGAGAGATGACAACCCTCTCATCAGTCATGTCACACATGGAGACAACCCTCTCATCAGTCATGTCACACATGGAGAGATGACAACCCTCTCATCAGTCATGTCACACATGGAGAGATGACAACCCTCTCATCAGTCATGTCACACATGGAGACAACCCTCTCATCATGCCACACATGGAGACAACCCTCTCATCAGTCATGTCACACATGGAGACAACCCTCTCATCAGTCATGTCACACATGGAGACAACCCTCTCATCAGTCATGTCACACATGGAGAGATGACAACCCTCTCATCAGTCATGTCACACATGGAGAGATGACAACCCTCTCATCAGTCATGTCACACATGGAGACAACCCTCTCATCATGCCACACATGGAGACAACCCTCTCATCAGTCATGTCACACATGGAGACAACCCTCTCATCAGTCATGTCACACATGGAGACAACCCTCTCATCAGTCATGTCACACATGGAGAGATGACAACCCTCTCATCAGTCATGTCACACATGGAGAGATGACAACCCTCTCATCAGTCATGTCACACATGGAGAGATGACAACCCTCTCATCAGTCATGTCACACATGGAGAGATGACAACCCTCTCATCAGTCATGTCACACATGGAGAGATGACAACCCTCTCATCAGTCATGTCACACATGGAGACAACCCTCTCATCAGTCATGTCACACATGGAGAGATGACAACCCTCTCATCAGTCATGTCACACATGGAGAGATGACAACCCTCTCATCAGTCATGTCACACATGGAGACAACCCTCTCATCAGTCATGTCACACATGGAGACAACCCTCTCATCAGTCATGTCACACATGGAGACAACCCTCTCATCAGTCATGTCACACATGGAGAGATGACAACCCTCTCATCAGTCATGTCACACATGGAGACAACCCTCTCATCAGTCATGTCACACATGGAGACAACCCTCTCATCAGTCATGTCACACATGGAGACAACCCTCTCATCAGTCATGTCACACATGGAGACAACCCTCTCATCAGTCATGTCACACATGGAGACAACCCTCTCATCAGTCATGTCACACATGGAGACAACCCTCTCATCAGTCATGTCATACATGGAGAGATGACAACCCTCTCATCAGTCATGTCACACATGGAGAGATGACAACCCTCTCATCAGTCATGTCACACATGGAGAGATGACAACCCTCTCATCAGTCATGTCACACATGGAGAGATGACAACCCTCTCATCAGTCATGTCACACATGGAGAGATGACAACCTCTCATCAGTCATGTCACACATGGAGAGATGACAACCCTCTCATCAGTCATGTCACACATGGAGACAACCCTCTCATCAGTCATGTCACACATGGAGACAACCCTCTCATCAGTCATGTCACACATGGAGAGATGACAACCCTCTCATCAGTCATGTCACACATGGAGACAACCCTCTCATCAGTCATGTCACACATGGAGACAACCCTCTCATCAGTCATGTCATACATGGAGAGATGACAACCCTCTCATCAGTCATGTCACACATGGAGAGATGACAACCCTCTCATCAGTCATGTCACACATGGAGACAACCCTCTCATCAGTCATGTCACACATGCAGACAACCCTCTCATCAGTCATGTCACACATGGAGAGATGACAACCCTCTCATCAGTCATGTCACACATGGAGAGATGACAACCCTCTCATCAGTCATGTCACACATGGAGAGATGACAACCCTCTCATCAGTCATGTCACACATGGAGACAACCCTCTCATCAGTCATGTCACACATGGAGACAACCCTCTCATCAGTCATGTCACACATGGAGACAACCCTCTCATCAGTCATGTCACACATGGAGACAACCCTCTCATCAGTCATGTCACACATGGAGACAACCCTCTCATCAGTCATGTCACACATGGAGACAACCCTCTCATCAGTCATGTCACACACGAAGAGAACAAGAACCCATCAGCACCCACCAAGTCCAACATGGCCGCCACCAGCTGAGGGTCGGGCCAGGAGCCAGGGTGACAACACTCCAGTAGAAAAGAGAATCTCAACATGCCGGAGTGGATCAGAAATTTGTCCACAATCCTTTTCTCTTTGACCAGCACCAGCTCAACATTGGCCTCTGTTTTGTGGCTGGTGCGTTGCTTGTAAAATTCTGAATCAGAATAAAAAAACAGGAACCAGTCATTTGTCAATAGGGTTCAGTTTACTTGTTACCATTGCTAAGGGGGCAGTTAGTTGAGCAGTAATGGTTGCAGAAAAAAACCAGCTAACACAAATAACAAAAATGCTGATTGCAGGGCCCAGACAGACAACAAAAATGCTGATTGCAGGGCCCAGACAGACAACAAAAATGCTGATTGCAGGGCCCAGACAGACAACAAAAATGCTGATTGCAGGGCCCAGACAGACAACAAAAATGCTGATTGCAGGGCTCAGAAAGAAAAGAAAATATGATCAGGAATTTTTTTACCTACAATTAATATAAATGGTCTAAATAAATTTAAAAATCTAGACCTTTATTTTTGGAACAAAACTAAACTGTAACAGCTAGAGAACCTAATAACACAATGAGACTTTTCCCAGTGCCAAAGTTGTCAAAGATTCTAAAAGATCATGTCCTTGCTGTTTTTATTCATTTCTCAAGCCTGTAGTGTAGCCTATCTGTGACTAGCATTAGATATAGGAGTGTGTGTACAGTGCTGCTAACCACTTTATCAAGCAATAAAAAGAAAGAAAATGTGTACCATCACTGCTAACCACTTTATCAAGCAATAAAAAGAAAGAAAATGTGTACCATCACTGCTAACCACTTTATCAAGCAATAAAAAGAAAGAAAATGTGTACCATCACTGCTAACCACTTTATCAAGCAATAAAAAGAAAGAAAATGTGTACCATCACTGCTAACCACTTTATCAAGCAATAACAAGAAAGAAAATGTGCACCATCACTGCTAACCACTTTATCAAGCAATAACAAGAAAGAAAATGTGTACCATCACTGCTAACCACTTTATCAAGCAATAAAAAGAAAGAAAATGTGTACCATCACTGCTAACCACTTTATCAAGCAATAAAAAGAAAGAAAATGTGTACCATCACTGCTTCCTGCCTTTCCCTTAATACCATCTTCAATGCGTTTGCGGGCACTGAGAAATGTTAAAGTTGCTTGACTAGCAGCTCGGAAAGACATTCGACCCCTACCAGCAGTACGGTGGACTTGGGCCTCGCTGCGGCTCTCTCGACGGTCAAGTGGGGGCGGATCTGAGTTCTGGTCATCCTCGTGGTCACTTTTTGTTCCTCTTCTCCATCCTAGCAAACACAATATACATCTCAACCAGGGGGACAGTAGAAACTAGAGGGAATGTTATGTCTTCTCCATCCTAGCAAACACAATATACATCTCTACCAGGGGGACAGTAGAAATTAGAGGGAATGTTATGTCCTCTCCATCCTAGCAAACACAATATACATCTCAACCAGGGGGACAGTAGAAACTAGAGGGAATGTTATGTCAGCACTGGAAGTAGAAATTAGAGGGAATGTTATGTCAGCACTAGCAGTAGAAATTTGAGGGAATGTTATTGTATAACTGACAGTAGAAATTAGAGGGAATGTTATGTCAGCACTGGCAGTAGAAATTAGAGGGAATGTTATGTCAGCACTGGCAGTAGAAATTAGAGGGAATGTTATGTCTTCTCCATCCTAGCAAACACACATCTCAACCAGGGGGACAGTAGAAATTAGAGGGAATGTTATGTTAGCACTGACAGTAGAAATTAGAGGGAATGTTATTGTATAACTGACAGTAGAAATTAGAGGGAATGTTATGTCAGCACTGGCAGTAGAAATTAGAGGGAATGTTATGTCAGCACTGGCAGTAGAAATTTGAGGGAATGTTATGTCAGCACTGGAAGTAGAAATTAGAGGGAATGTTATGTCAGCACTGGAAGTAGAAATTAGAGGGAATGTTATGTCAGCACTGGAAGTAGAAATTAGAGGGAATGTTATGTCAGCACTGGCAGTAGAAACTAGAGGGAATGCAGGCACTAACCAATGTTGAATTTACTGAAGCGCCTACGAGGTGTAGAGGTGGACTGTGGAGAGTCTTCCTCTGCAGCTGAGATGCTGGTTCTGGGACTTTTTCCTCCTGGGATCTCATCCACAACTTCAGAATCACTGGCAGCGTACTGGAACATTTTTTATACAAACTCAATTTTGGCTACAATCTAAGAGATTTCAATGGGAGTGTATGGTGTCCACACTAGAGCAATTAGAACAGTGATAAGAAAAAGTTAAAAAAACAAAATTTTAGTTGAAACCTTTGTTATTTTTGTTCGAAACAATGACTTGCGAGATTTGCGTCGTCCAATGGGATCATCAGAATTCTGGAGACTAATGTGTTTAGTTGATGTCGGAGTCTCATCTCCACTCTCTGAGGTGATAGAGGTCGTTCTTCTGGTGAAGTAAAGGCAAGGGAATGCAGCAAGTTAACTTCATTCATCTTATACAGGCACATTGTGTACATGACTTCCACACACTTCAGATATATTCAAACTATTGAATTTTGTGTTCATGGAGAGAGAAATCTAATCAAAATGCAAATGTGTTCATGTAGAGAGTGAGATCTAATCAAAATAGGATTGTGTTCATGTAAGAAGAAGTAAGGAGTCAACCCCTCCCGAAAAAATGAGGAGTGAAGTACCGTATGGGTGATGGTTCTTTCTTCAGTGTTATCTCCCTCTTCCTCTCAGCACTTTCCCTCCTGACCTTCTGCAGGGAATCCAGCAGGCCACTCAAGGCCACACGACGAAAGGTTCCGCCGTGGATCTCCTTCACATAGGCCATCAGCTGCCGCACATCACAGAACAGGCTCTGAGAAAACAAAAGCTACATCAGTGGCTGCACAAAGCTACATCAGTGGCTGCACAAAGCTACATCAGTGGCTGCACAAAGCTACATCAGTGGCTGCACAAAGCTACATCAGTGGCTGCACAAAGCTACATCAGTGGCTGCACAAAGCTACATCAGTGGCTACATCAGTGGCTACATCAGTGGCTGCACAAAGCTACATCAGTGGCTGCACAAAGCTACATCAGTGGCTGCATCAGTGGCTACATCAGTGGCTGCACAAAGCTACATCAGTGGCTGCACAAAGCTACATCAGTGGCTGCACAAAGCTACATCAGTGGCTGCACAAAGCTACATCAGTGGCTGCACAAAGCTACATCAGTGGCTGCACAAAGCTACATCAGTGGCTGCACAAAGCTACATCAGTGGCTGCACAAAGCTACATCAGTGGCTGCACAAAGCTACATCAGTGGCTACATCAGTGGCTACATCAGTGGCTGCACAAAGCTACATCAGTGGCTGCACAAAGCTACATCAGTGGCTGCACACAATAAAGCTACATCAGTGGCTGCACAAAGCTACATCAGTGGCTGCACAAAGCTACATCAGTGGCTGCACACAATAAAGCTACATCAGTGGCTGCACACAATAAAGCTACATCAGTGGCTGCACACAATAAAGCTACATCAGTGGCTGCACACAATAAAGCTACATCAGTGGCTGCACACAATAAAGCTACATCAGTGGCTGCACACAAAACTTTAGATTAAACCATCAAACAGTAGGACATGAAGAGTGTAGCAATCTGGCTAGCTGGGGGGGGGGAGTAATTTGTTCCATTGTCAGGGCAGACAGAGAGAGAAAAGAAAGGGCAAAAACTCACAATATTTTCATTGTCTGGGCAGACAGAGAGAGAAAAGAAAGGGCAACAACTCACAATATTTTCATTGTCAGGGCAGACAGAGAGAGAAAAGAAAGGGCAAAAACTCACAATATTTTCATTGTCAGGGCAGACAGAGAGAGAAAAGAAAGGGCAACAACTCACAATATTTTCATTGTCTGGGCAGACAGAGAGAGAAAAGAAAGGGCAACAACTCACAATATTTTCATTGTCTGGGCAGACAGAGAGAGAAAAGAAAGGGCAAAAACTCACAATATTTTCATTGTCTGGGCAGACAGAGAGAGAAAAGAAAGGGCAAAAACTCACAATATTTTCATTGTCTGGGCAGACAGAGAGAGAAAAGAAAGGGCAAAAACTCACAATATTTTCATTGTCTGGGCAGACAGAGAGAGAAAAGAAAGGGCAACAACTCACAATATTTTCATTGTCTGGGCAGACAGAGAGAGAAAAGAAAGGGCAAAAACTCACAATATTTTCATTGTCTGGGCAGACAGAGAGAGAAAAGAAAGGGCAAAAACTCACAATATTTTCATTGTCTGGGCAGACAGAGAGAGAAAAGAAAGGGCAAAAACTCACAATATTTTCATTGTCTGGGCAGACAGAGAGAGAAAAGAAAGGGCAAAAACTCACAATATTTTCATTGCCATACAACTCCCCGGAACACTGAACACAGCGGGTGATCAAAGGTTTGACCAGGTTGGCAATCAGAACACCTTCCACACCTCTGTACCCTTCTCCACCGATGCTGTGGCCAAAATTATTGGAATACCCCATACGTGGAATATTTTCTTGCGAGACAGACTTTTTCTGAGCTGAAATAAAAATGCAACAAGCTGCTGGATCTATCAACACAAAAACCTTGGCAAACAAATCAATATGAGCTGACATTCACCAACTTACACATTGGGGTCACCAACTTACACATTGGGGTCACCAACTTACACATTGGGGTCACCAACTTACACATTGGGGTCACCAACTTACACATTGGGGTCACCAACTTACACATTGGGGTCACCAACTTACACATTGGGGTCACCAACTTACACATTGGGGTCACCAACTTACACATTGGGGTCACCAACTTACACATTGGGGACTGCAAGAGCGTAGAGGGGTCAAAACAAAATCCAAGAAATGCATGTAAAAAATCCACTGTTTCCTGTAGTGGACGCTTCCTCACAGTGTCACGCAGAAACTGGTGGAACATTGTTGGATTCATTTTGTGTAGACGTTGTAGGCAGTTCTGTCCCTTGATGCGCAGGTGGTCACCCTGAGAGCCCACCACTCCATCCCCACACCCATGGGGGCAGCCCAGAGCCTTGTAGATTCTGTGAAAACAGGTTCAAATCTCACCTGAACAAACAGTCAACTTGTTCAAATCTCACCTGAACAAACAGTCAACTTGTTCAAATCTCACCTGAACAAACAGTCAACTTGTTCAAATCTCACCTGAACAGTCAACTGGTTCAAATCTCCACCTGAACAAACAGTCAACTTGTTCAAATCTCACCTGAACAGTCAACTGGTTCAAATCTCACCTGAACAAACAGTCAACTTGTTCAAATCTCACCTGAACAAACAGTCAACTTGTTCAAATCTCACATGAACAAACAGTCAACTTGTTCAAATCTCACCTGAACAAACAGTCAACTTGTTCAAATCTCACCTGAACAGTCAACTGGTTCAAATCTCACCTGAACAAACAGTCAACTTGTTCAAATCTCACCTGAACAAACAGTCAACTTGTTCAAATCTCACATGAACAAACAGTCAACTTGTTCAAATCTCACCTGAACAAACAGTCAACTTGTTCAAATCTCACCTGAACAAACAGTCAACTTGTTCAAATCTCACCTGAACAGTCAACTGGTTCAAATCTCACCTGAACAAACAGTCAACTTGTTCAAATCTCACCTGAACAGTCAACTGGTTCAAATCTCACCTGAACAAACAGTCAACTTGTTCAAATCTCACCTGAACAAACAGTCAACTTGTTCAAATCTCACATGAACAAACAGTCAACTTGTTCAAATCTCACCTGAACAAACAGTCAACTTGTTCAAATCTCACCTGAACAAACAGTCAACTTGTTCAAATCTCACCGGAACAAACAGTCAACTTGTTCAAATCTCACCTGAACAAACAGTCAACTTGTTCAAATCTCACCTAAACAAACAGTCAACTTGTTCAAATCTCACCTAAACAAACAGTCAACTTGTTCAAATCTCACCTAAACAAACAGTCAACTTGTTCAAATCTCACCTGAACAGTTACCTGAACAAACAAACAATTACATGAAGAAACAGTTACCTGATCAAACAGGTAAAAAACAGTTCCCTGAACAAACAGATACCTGAAGAAACAGTTACCTGAACAAACAGTTACCTGAACAAACTGTCCATGGCAAGACTGTGAGCTGTCACTTCATCCCTGGCCCTGATGCCCAGGCCATCATCAGGGGAGGGAGACTTGGGGGATGTATCAAAGACTGCAGGTAGGAAACAAAACTATCAGGGGAGGGAGGGAGACTTGGGGGATGTATCAAAGACTGCAGGTAGGAAACAAAACTATCAGGGGAGGGAGGGAGACTTGGGGGATGTATCAAAGACTGCAGGTAGGAAACAAAACTATCAGGGGAGGGAGACTTGGGGGATGTATCAAAGACTGCAGGTAGGAAACAAAACTATCAGGGGAGGGAGACTTGGGGGATGTATCAAAGACTGCAGGTAGGAAACAAAACTATCAGGGGAGGGAGGGAGACTTGGGGGATGTATCAAAGACTGCAGGTAGGAAACAAAACTATCAGGGGAGGGAGACTTGGGGGATGTATCAAAGACTGCAGGTAGGAAACAAAACTATCAGGGGAGGGAGGGAGACTTGGGGGATGTATCAAAGACTGCAGGTAGGAAACAAAACTATCAGGGGAGGGAGACTTGGGGGATGTATCAAAGACTGCAGGTAGGAAACAAAACTATCAGGGGAGGGAGACTTGGGGGATGTATCAAAGACTGCAGGTAGGAAACAAAACAATCAGGGGAGGGAGGGAGACTTGGGGGATGTATCAAAGACTGCAGGTAGGAAACAAAACTATCAGGGGAGGGAGACTTGGGGGATGTATCAAAGACTGCAGGTAGGAAACAAAACTATCAGGGGAGGGAGGGAGACTTGGGGGATGTATCAAAGACTGCAGGTAGGAAACAAAACTATCAGGGGAGGGAGACTTGGGGGATGTATCAAAGACTGCAGGTAGGAAACAAAACTATCAGGGGAGGGAGACTTGGGGGATGTATCAAAGACTGCAGGTAGGAAACAAAACAATCAGGGGAGGGAGGGAGACTTGGGGGATGTATCAAAGACTGCAGGTAGGAAACAAAACTATCAGGGGAGGGAGGGAGACTTGGGGGATGTATCAAAGACTGCAGGTAGGAAACAAAACTATCAGGGGAGGGAGGGAGACTTGGGGGATGTATCAAAGACTGCAGGTAGGAAACAAAACTATCAGGGGAGGGAGGGAGACTTGGGGGATGTATCAAAGACTGCAGGTAGGAAACAAAACTATCAGGGGAGGGAGACTTGGGGGATGTATCAAAGACTGCAGGTAGGAAACGAAACTATCAGGGGAGGGAGACTTGGGGGATGTATCAAAGACTGCAGGTAGGAAACAAAACTATCAGGGGAGGGAGGGAGACTTGGGGGATGTATCAAAGACTGCAGGTAGGAAACAAAACTATCAGGGGAGGGAGACTTGGGGGATGTATCAAAGACTGAAGGTAGGAAACAAAACTATCAGGGGAGGGAGACTTGGGGGATGTATCAAAGACTGCAGGTAGGAAACAAAACTATCAGGGGAGGGAGACTTGGGGGATGTATCAAAGACTGCAGGTAGGAAACAAAACTATCAGGGGAGGGAGGGAGACTTGGGGGATGTATCAAAGACTGCAGGTAGGAAACAAAACTATCAGGGGAGGGAGACTTGGGGGATGTATCAAAGACTGAAGGTAGGAAACAAAACTATCAGGGGAGGGAGGGAGACTTGGGGGATGTATCAAAGACTGAAGGTAGGAAACAAAACTATCAGGGGAGGGAGACTTGGGGGATGTATCAAAGACTGCAGGTAGGAAACAAAACTATCAGGGGAGGGAGGGAGACTTGGGGGATGTATCAAAGACTGCAGGTAGGAAACAAAACTATCAGGGGAGGGAGGGAGACTTGGGGGATGTATCAAAGACTGCAGGTAGGAAACAAAACTATCAGGGGAGGGAGGGAGACTTGGGGGATGTATCAAAGACTGCAGGTAGGAAACAAAACTATCAGGGGAGGGAGGGAGACTTGGGGGATGTATCAAAGACTGAAGGTAGGAAACAAAACTATCAGGGGAGGGAGACTTGGGGGATGTATCAAAGACTGAAGGTAGGAAACAAAACTATCAGGGGAGGGAGACTTGGGGGATGTATCAAAGACTGAAGGTAGGAAACAAAACTATCAGGGGAGGGAGGGAGACTTGGGGGATGTATCAAAGACTGAAGGTAGGAAACAAAACAATCAGGGGAGGGAGACTTGGGGGATGTATCAAAGACTGCAGGTAGGAAACAAAACTATCAGGGGAGGGAGACTTGGGGGATGTATCAAAGACTGCAGGTAGGAAACAAAACTATCAGGGGAGGGAGACTTGGGGGATGTATCAAAGACTGCAGGTAGGAAACAAAACTATCAGGGGAGGGAGACTTGGGGGATGTATCAAAGACTGCAGGTAGGAAACAAAACTATCAGGGGAGGGAGACTTAGGGGATGTATCAAAGACTGCAGGTAGGAAACAAAACTATCAGGGGAGGGAGACTTGGGGGATGTATCAAAGACTGCAGGTAGGAAACAAAACTATCAGGGGAGGGAGGGAGACTTGGGGGATGTATCAAAGACTGCAGGTAGGAAACAAAACTATCAGGGGAGGGAGACTTGGGGGATGTATCAAAGACTGCAGGTAGGAAACAAAACTATCAGGGGAGGGAGACTTGGGGGATGTATCAAAGACTGCAGGTAGGAAACAAAACTATCAGGGGAGGGAGACTTGGGGGATGTATCAAAGACTGCAGGTAGGAAACAAAACTATCAGGGGAGGGAGGGAGACTTGGGGGATGTATCAAAGACTGCAGGTAGGAAACAAAACTATCAGGGGAGGGAGACTTTGGGGATGTATCAAAGACTGCAGGTAGGAAACAAAACTATCAGGGGAGGGAGGGAGACTTGGGGGATGTATCAAAGACTGCAGGTAGAAACTAAACTATCAGGGGGGGAGACTTGGGGGATGTATCAAAGACTGCAGGTAGGAAACAAAACTATCAGGGGAGGGAGACTTGGGGGATGTATCAAAGACTGCAGGTAGGAAACGAAACTATCAGGGGAGGGAGACTTGGGGGATGTATCAAAGACTGCAGGTAGGAAACAAAACTATCAGGGGAGGGAGGGAGACTTGGAGGATGTATCAAAGACTGCAGGTAGGAAACAAAACTATCAGGGGAGGGAGACTTGGGGGATGTATCAAAGACTGCAGGTAGGAAACAAAACTATCAGGGGAGGGAGGGAGACTTGGGGGATGTATCAAAGACTGCAGGTAGGAAACAAAACTATCAGGGGAGGGAGGGAGACTTGGGGGATGTATCAAAGACTGCAGGTAGGAAACAAAACTATCAGGGGAGGGAGACTTGGGGGATGTATCAAAGACTGCAGGTAGGAAACAAAACTATCAGGGGAGGGAGGGAGACTTGGGGGATGTATCAAAGACTGCAGGTAGGAAACAAAACTATCAGGGGAGGGAGACTTGGGGGATGTATCAAAGACTGCAGGTAGGAAACAAAACTATCAGGGGAGGGAGGGAGACTTGGGGGATGTATCAAAGACTGCAGGTAGGAAACAAAACTATCAGGGGAGGGAGACTTGGGGGATGTATCAAAGACTGCAGGTAGGAAACAAAACTATCAGGGGAGGGAGGGAGACTTGGGGGATGTATCAAAGACTGAAGGTAGGAAACAAAACAATCAGGGGAGGGAGACTTGGGGGATGTATCAAAGACTGAAGGTAGGAAACAAAACTATCAGGGGAGGGAGACTTGGGGGATGTATCAAAGACTGCAGGTAGGAAACAAAACTATCAGGGGAGGGAGACTTGGGGGATGTATCAAAGACTGAAGGTAGGAAACAAAACTATCAGGGGAGGGAGGGAGACTTGGGGGATGTATCAAAGACTGAAGGTAGGAAACAAAACTATCAGGGGAGGGAGGGAGACTTGGGGGATGTATCAAAGACTGCAGGTAGGAAACAAAACTATCAGGGGAGGGAGACTTGGGGGATGTATCAAAGACTGCAGGTAGGAAACAAAACTATCAGGGAGGGAGACTTGGGGGATGTATCAAAGACTGAAGGTAGGAAACAAAACTATCAGGGGAGGGAGACTTGGGGGATGTATCAAAGACTGAAGGTAGGAAACAAAACTATCAGGGGAGGGAGACTTGGGGGATGTATCAAAGACTGAAGGTAGGAAACAAAACTATCAGGGGAGGGAGACTTGGGGGATGTATCAAAGACTGCAGGTAGGAAACAAAACTATCAGGGGAGGGAGACTTGGGGGATGTATCAAAGACTGCAGGTAGGAAACAAAACTATCAGGGGAGGGAGACTTGGGGGATGTATCAAAGACTGCAGGTAGGAAACAAAACTATCAGGGGAGGGAGGGAGACTTGGGGGATGTATCAAAGACTGCAGGTAGGAAACAAAACTATCAGGGGAGGGAGACTTGGGGGATGTATCAAAGACTGCAGGTAGGAAACAAAACTATCAGGGGAGGGAGACTTGGGGGATGTATCAAAGACTGCAGGTAGGAAACAAAACTATCAGGGGAGGGAGGGAGACTTGGGGGATGTATCAAAGACTGCAGGTAGGAAACAAAACTATCAGGGGAGGGAGACTTGGGGGATGTATCAAAGACTGAAGGTAGGAAACAAAACTATCAGGGGAGGGAGGGAGACTTGGGGGATGTATCAAAGACTGAAGGTAGGAAACAAAACTATCAGGGGAGGGAGACTTGGGGGATGTATCAAAGACTGCAGGTAGGAAACAAAACTATCAGGGGAGGGAGACTTGGGGGATGTATCAAAGACTGCAGGTAGGAAACAAAACTATCAGGGGAGGGAGACTTGGGGGATGTATCAAAGACTGCAGGTAGGAAACAAAACTATCAGGGGAGGGAGGGAGACTTGGGGGATGTATCAAAGACTGCAGGTAGGAAACAAAACTATCAGGGGAGGGAGGGAGACTTGGGGGATGTATCAAAGACTGCAGGTAGGAAACAAAACTATCAGGGGAGGGAGGGAGACTTGGGGGATGTATCAAAGACTGCAGGTAGGAAACAAAACTATCAGGGGAGGGAGACTTGGGGGATGTATCAAAGACTGCAGGTAGGAAACAAAACTATCAGGGGAGGGAGACTTGGGGGATGTATCAAAGACTGCAGGTAGGAAACAAAACTATCAGGGGAGGGAGACTTGGGGGATGTATCAAAGACTGCAGGTAGGAAACAAAACTATCAGGGGAGGGAGGGAGACTTGGGGGATGTATCAAAGACTGCAGGTAGGAAACAAAACTATCAGGGGAGGGAGACTTGGGGGATGTATCAAAGACTGAAGGTAGGAAACAAAACTATCAGGGGAGGGAGGGAGACTTGGGGGATGTATCAAAGACTGCAGGTAGGAAACAAAACTATCAGGGGAGGGAGGGAGACTTGGGGGATGTATCAAAGACTGCAGGTAGGAAACAAAACTATCAGGGGAGGGAGACTTGGGGGATGTATCAAAGACTGCAGGTAGGAAACAAAACTATCAGGGGAGGGAGACTTGGGGGATGTATCAAAGACTGCAGGTAGGAAACAAAACTATCAGGGGAGGGAGGGAGACTTGGGGGATGTATCAAAGACTGCAGGTAGGAAACAAAACTATCAGGGGAGGGAGACTTGGGGGATGTATCAAAGACTGAAGGTAGGAAACAAAACAATCAGGGGAGGGAGACTTGGGGGATGTATCAAAGACTGCAGGTAGGAAACAAAACTATCAGGGGAGGGAGGGAGACTTGGGGGATGTATCAAAGACTGCAGGTAGGAAACAAAACTATCAGGGGAGGGAGACTTGGGGGATGTATCAAAGACTGCAGGTAGGAAACAAAACTATCAGGGGAGGGAGGGAGACTTGGGGGATGTATCAAAGACTGCAGGTAGGAAACAAAACTATCAGGGGAGGGAGACTTGGGGGATGTATCAAAGACTGCAGGTAGGAAACAAAACTATCAGGGGAGGGAGACTTGGGGGATGTATCAAAGACTGCAGGTAGGAAACAAAACTATCAGGGGAGGGAGACTTGGGGGATGTATCAAAGACTGCAGGTAGGAAACAAAACTATCAGGGGAGGGAGGGAGACTTGGGGGATGTATCAAAGACTGCAGGTAGGAAACAAAACTATCAGGGGAGGGAGACTTGGGGGATGTATCAAAGACTGCAGGTAGGAAACAAAACTATCAGGGGAGGGAGACTTGGGGGATGTATCAAAGACTGCAGGTAGGAAACAAAACTATCAGGGGAGGGAGACTTGGGGGATGTATCAAAGACTGAAGGTAGGAAACAAAACTATCAGGGGAGGGAGGGAGACTTGGGGGATGTATCAAAGACTGCAGGTAGGAAACAAAACTATCAGGGGAGGGAGGGAGACTTGGGGGATGTATCAAAGACTGCAGGTAGGAAACAAAACTATCAGGGGAGGGAGGGAGACTTGGGGGATGTATCAAAGACTGCAGGTAGGAAACAAAACTATCAGGGGAGGGAGACTTGGGGGATGTATCAAAGACTGCAGGTAGGAAACAAAACTATCAGGGGAGGGAGACTTAGGGGATGTATCAAAGACTGCAGGTAGGAAACAAAACTATCAGGGGAGGGAGGGAGACTTGGGGGATGTATCAAAGACTGCAGGTAGGAAACAAAACTATCAGGGGAGGGAGGGAGACTTGGGGGATGTATCAAAGACTGCAGGTAGGAAACAAAACTATCAGGGGAGGGAGACTTGGGGGATGTATCAAAGACTGCAGGTAGGAAACAAAACTATCAGGGGAGGGAGGGAGACTTGGGGGATGTATCAAAGACTGAAGGTAGGAAACAAAACAATCAGGGGAGGGAGACTTGGGGGATGTATCAAAGACTGCAGGTAGGAAACAAAACTATCAGGGGAGGGAGGGAGACTTGGGGGATGTATCAAAGACTGCAGGTAGGAAACAAAACAATCAGGGGAGGGAGACTTGGGGGATGTATCAAAGACTGAAGGTAGGAAACAAAACTATCAGGGGAGGGAGGGAGACTTGGGGGATGTATCAAAGACTGCAGGTAGGAAACAAAACTATCAGGGGAGGGAGACTTGGGGGATGTATCAAAGACTGCAGGTAGGAAACAAAACTATCAGGGGAGGGAGACTTGGGGGATGTATCAAAGACTGCAGGTAGGAAACAAAACTATCAGGGGAGGGAGGGAGACTTGGGGGATGTATCAAAGACTGCAGGTAGGAAACAAAACTATCAGGGGAGGGAGACTTGGGGGATGTATCAAAGACTGCAGGTAGGAAACAAAACTATCAGGGGAGGGAGACTTGGGGGATGTATCAAAGACTGCAGGTAGGAAACAAAACTATCAGGGGAGGGAGGGAGACTTGGGGGATGTATCAAAGACTGCAGGTAGGAAACAAAACAATCAGGGGAGGGAGGGAGACTTGGGGGATGTATCAAAGACTGCAGGTAGGAAACAAAACTATCAGGGGAGGGAGACTTGGGGGATGTATCAAAGACTGCAGGTAGGAAACAAAACAATCAGGGGAGGGAGACTTGGGGGATGTATCAAAGACTGAAGGTAGGAAACAAAACTATCAGGGGAGGGAGGGAGACTTGGGGGATGTATCAAAGACTGCAGGTAGGAAACAAAACTATCAGGGGAGGGAGACTTGGGGGATGTATCAAAGACTGCAGGTAGGAAACAAAACTATCAGGGGAGGGAGACTTGGGGGATGTATCAAAGACTGCAGGTAGGAAACAAAACTATCAGGGGAGGGAGACTTGGGGGATGTATCAAAGACTGCAGGTAGGAAACAAAACTATCAGGGGAGGGAGACTTGGGGGATGTATCAAAGACTGCAGGTAGGAAACAAAACTATCAGGGGAGGGAGGGAGACTTGGGGGATGTATCAAAGACTGCAGGTAGGAAACAAAACAATCAGGGGAGGGAGGGAGACTTGGGGGATGTATCAAAGACTGCAGGTAGGAAACAAAACTATCAGGGGAGGGAGACTTGGGGGATGTATCAAAGACTGCAGGTAGGAAACAAAACAATCAGGGGAGGGAGACTTGGGGGATGTATCAAAGACTGCAGGTAGGAAACAAAACTATCAGGGGAGGGAGACTTGGGGGATGTATCAAAGACTGCAGGTAGGAAACAAAACAATCAGGGGAGGGAGACTTGGGGGATGTATCAAAGACTGCAGGTAGGAAACAAAACTATCAGGGGAGGGAGGGAGACTTGGGGGATGTATCAAAGACTGCAGGTAGGAAACAAAACTATCAGGGGAGGGAGACTTGGGGGATGTATCAAAGACTGCAGGTAGGAAACAAAACTATCAGGGGAGGGAGACTTGGGGGATGTATCAAAGACTGCAGGTAGGAAACAAAACTATCAGGGGAGGGAGACTTGGGGGATGTATCAAAGACTGCAGGTAGGAAACAAAACTATCAGGGGAGGGAGGGAGACTTAGGGGATGTATCAAAGACTGCAGGTAGTAAACAAAACTATCAGGGGAGGGAGACTTGGGGGATGTATCAAAGACTGCAGGTAGGAAACAAAACTATCAGACTAGATACCTGTAGGAGAAGCTGAGCTGAAGCTGTTCTGTCCTGGTGTCCTGATGGAAGCCGGGGTGCCAGCTGTGGCTGGAGAAGTGTTGACCAGACTGGCGCTCTCAATGATGTCCAGGTCCAGCAGGCAGTTGAGCAAGTTAAGGAGGACTTCACAAATTCTTGGGGCGTGCTCATTCATGGCCACAAAGTGGAGGGCTCGCAGCACTACTTTGTAGTTCATGTGGCCATTAGGTTGGATGTAGTACTTGGAACCTGACACCTACAACATTAGGTTGGATGTAGTACTTGGGACACCTACAACATTAGGTTGGATGTAGTACTTGGGACACCTACAACATTAGGTTGGATGTAGTACTTGGGACCTGACACCTACAACATTAGGTTGGATGTAGTACTTGGGATACCTACAACATTAGGTTGGATGTAGTACTTGGGACACCTACAACATTAGGTTGGATGTAGTACTTGGGACACTTACAACATTAGGTTGGATGTAGTACTTGGGACACCTACAACATTAGGTTGGATGTAGTACTTGGGACACTTACAACATTAGGTTGGATGTAGTACTTGGGACACCTACAACATTAGGTTGGATGTAGTACTTGGGACACTTACAACATTATGTTGGATGTAGTACTTGGGACACCTACAACATTAGGTTGGATGTAGTACTTGGGACACCTACAACATTAGGTTGGATGTAGTACTTGGGACACCTACAACATTAGGTTGGATGTAGTACTTGGAACCTGACACCTACAACATTAGGTTGGATGTAGTACTTTGGACACCTACAACATTAGGTTGGATGTAGTACTTGGGACACCTACAACACTAGGTTGGATGTAGTACTTGGGACACCTACAACATTAGGTTGGATGTAGTACTTGGGACACCTACAACATTAGGTTGGATGTAGTACTTGGGACACCTACAACATTAGGTTGGATGTAGTACTTGGGACACCTACAACATTAGGTTGGATGTAGTACTTGGGACACCTACAACATTAGGTTGGATGTAGTACTTGGGACACCTACAACATTAGGTTGGATGTAGTACTTGGGACACCTACAACATTAGGTTGGATGTAGTACTTGGGACACCTATAACTGAGACAATGACCCACCTCTTGTATCTCCCCGTCCTGCTTGTAGGCAATGTTTGAATCTGTCAAGCTGCGAGGTAGTAGTGGGGAGCCATGGATCTCATCAGCTGGGTCAAAAGTTTAAGGTCAATGAGTCTGTGGTTGTGGCTACATTCTGTGAGCTAGCTGTGAGGACCTACATTCTGTGAGCTAGCTGTGAGGACCTACATTCTGTGAGCTAGCTGTGAGGACCTACATTCTGTGAGCTAGCTGTGAGGACCTACCTTTTGCTAGCTAACTGTGAGGACCTACATTCTGTGAGCTAGCTGTGAGGACCTACATTCTGTGAGCTAGCTGTGAGGACCTACATTCTGTGAGCTAGCTGTGAGGACCTACATTCTGTGAGCTAGCTGTGAGGATCTACATTCTGTGAGCTAGCTGTGAGGACCTACATTCTGTGAGCTAGCTGTGAGGACCTACATTCTGTGAGCTAGCTGTGAGGACCTACATTCTGTGAGCTAGCTGTGAGGACCTACCTTTTGTCTCAGGACTGTGCTCAGTGATGCGGATGATAGGACGGCGAACAGCTTCCTTGTCCAGGAGCCCAGCCTTGTCCATCTGTCCAGCCTTGGCCTGCAGGTCAGCCTGGGATGAGGTGGACGAGTCCTGTCCACTACACTGGCTGCTGCTGCCCATAGAGTCCTTGTCATGTTGGCTCAAGGTGGGCAGACTTTTCCTGCAGCTAAAACATAGTGTTGGTCAGTGTGTGTGGTTATCTGCCAAAGTGTGTGTGGTTACCTGTCAAAGTGTGTGTGGTTACCTGTCAAAGTGTGTGGTTACCTGTCAAAGTGTGTGGTTACCTGTCAAAGTGTGTGTGGTTACCTGTCAAAGTGTGTTGTTACCTGTCAAAGTGTGTGTGGTTACCTGTCAAAGTGTGTGGTTACCTGTCAAAGTGTGTGGTTACCTGTCAAAGTGTGTGGTTACCTGTCAAAGTGTGTGGTTACCTGTCAAAGTGTGTGGTTACCTGTCAAAGTGTGTGTGGTTACCTGCCAAAGTGTGTGGTTACCTGTCAAAGTGTGTGTGGTTACCTGTCAAAGTGTGTGGTTACCTGTCAAAGTGTGTGGTTACCTGTCAAAGTGTGTGGTTACCTGTCAAAGTGTGTGGTTACCTGCCAAAGTGTGTGTGGTTACCTGTCAAAGTGTGTGTGGTTACCTGTCAAAGTGTGTGTGGTTACCTGCCAAAGTGTGTGGTTACCTGCCAAAGTGTGTGGTTACCTGCCAAAGTGTGTGTGGTTACCTGTCAAAGTGTGTGTGGTTACCTGTCAAAGTGTGTGGTTACCTGTCAAAGTGTGTGGTTACCTGTCAAAGTGTGTGGTTACCTGTCAAAGTGTGTGTGGTTACCTGTCAAAGTGTGTGGTTACCTGTCAAAGTGTGTGGTTACCTGCCAAAGTGTGCGGTTACCTGCCAAAGTGTGTGGTTACCAAAGTGTGTGTTTGACCCCCCCTGTACCACTGACTAGAGATGATGTAGGAAAGTGTTTTACCCTCCAGAAAATGAAGCCAACCTCTCTTCCTGTTCTTTAAAGGCTCCCATAGCTGATATTGGCCTGTCACCTTCTGTGTCGTCTTTACCTGAGAATGGGGAGGACACTGGATATTTCAATCATTCAGGCTGTCACACCTTGCTCATCAAAGTCTCGATAAAGTTCTTCATCACAATTACTTAACTCAATCAAAATAAAATGATATATACCATCATCACAATTACTTAACTCAATCAAAATAAAATGATATTAACCTTCATCGGTTAAATCTCTTTTGCGAAGAAAAGATTTGCCTGAATCAAAAAATTGCTTCAACTCAACAACACGAATTTTTTTAAAGGGTGGCTCCTTGCGCACTTCAGGTAGGGGGAAGGTGGTCATAGCAGAACGTCGCATGTCCAGCCCAGGCACGTTCTTGATGGTAGGGCTGTGGTTGTCTGCTGTCACAGCTGTGGGGGTGGGGGGCATGGAGTGAGGGTCAGCCTTGCTGGGCATCATCAAAATATTGAGGTCAGGTATGGGCAGGGAGCAGCTCCTGGCTCTCTCCTTGGCCTCCAGATTCTCCAGCTCATGGCAGACCTCCAGCATCCTCTGGTGCATGTACCTGCAACACCAGCACAAGTCTCAAACACTAGAGTAGGGGCAGATGCCCTAGAGTAGGGCAGATGCACTAGAGTAGGGGCAGATGCACTAGAGTAGGGGCAGATGCACTAGAGTAGGGCAGATGCACTAGAGTAGGGGCAGATGCACCAGAGTAGGGGCAGATGCACTAGAGTAGGGGCAGATGCACTAGAGTAGGGGCAGATGCACTAGAGTAGGGGCAGATGCACTAGAGTAGGGGCAGATGCACTAGAGTAGGGCAGATGCACTAGAGTAGGGGCAGATGCACTAGAGTAGGGGCAGATGCACTAGAGTAGGGGCAGATGCACTAGAGTAGGGGCAGATGCACTAGAGTAGGGCAGATGCACTAGAGTAGGGGTAGATGCACTAGAGTAGGGCAGATGCACTAGAGTAGGGGCAGATGCACTAGAGTAGGGGCAGATGCACTAGAGTAGGGCAGATGCACTAGAGTAGGGGCTGATGCACTAGAGTAGGGCAGATGCACTAGAGTAGGGGCAGATGCACTAGAGTAGGGGCAGATACACTAGAGTAAGGGCAGATACACTAGAGTAGGGGCAGATGCACTAGAGTAGGGACAGACACACTAGAGTAGGGACAGACACACTAGGGGCAGATGCACTAGAGTAGGGGCAGATGCACTAGGGACAGCCACACTAGGGACAGATGCACTAGAGTAGGGACAGCCACACTAGGGACAGATGCACTAGAGTAGGGACAGCCACACTGGGGACAGCCACACTAGGGACAGATGCACTAGAGTAGGGACAGCCACACTAGAGTAGGGACAGCCACACTAGAGTAGGGACAGCCACACTAGAGTATGGACAGACACACTAGAGTAGGGACAGCCACACTAGAGTAGGGACAGCCACACTAGAGTAGGGACAGACACACTAGAGTAGGGGCAGACACACTAGGGACAGATGCACTAGAGTAGGGACAGACACACTAGAGTAGGGACAGACACACTAGGGACAGACACACTAGAGTAGGGACAGACACACTAGGGACAGACACACTAGAGTAGGGACAGACACACTAGGGACAGACACACTAGAGTAGGGACAGACACACTAGAGTAGGGACAGACACACTAGAGTAGGGACAGACACACTAGGGACAGACACACTAGAGTAGGGACAGCCACACTAGAGTAGGGACAGCCACACTAGGGACAGACACACTAGAGTAGGGACAGACACACTAGAGTAGGGACAGACACACTAGGGACAGCCACACTAGAGTAGGGACAGACACACTAGAGTAGGGACAGACACACTAGGGACAGACACACTAGGGACAGACACACTAGGGACAGACACACTAGGGACAGATGCACTAGAGTAGGGACAGCCACACTAGGGACAGATGCACTAGAGTAGGGACAGACACACTAGGGACAGACACACTAGGGACAGATGCACTAGAGTAGGGACAGCCACACTAGGGGCAGATGCACTAGAGTAGGGACAGCCACACTAGGGACAGATGCACTAGAGTAGGGACAGACACACTAGAGTAGGGACAGACACACTAGAGTAGGGACAGACACACTAGGGGCAGATGCACTAGAGTAGGGACAGACACACTAGAGTAGGGACAGATGCACTAGAGTAGGGACAGCCACACTAGAGTAGGGACAGACACACTAGGGGCAGATGCACTAGAGTAGGGACAGACACACTAGAGTAGGGACAGACACACTAGAGTAGGGACAGACACACTAGAGTAGGGACAGCCACACTAGGGGCAGATACACTAGAGTAGGGACAGCCACACTAGAGTAGGGACAGACACACTAGAGTAGGGACAGCCACACTAGGGGCAGATACACTAGAGTAGGGACAGCCACACTAGAGTAGGGACAGACACACTAGAGTAGGGACAGACACACTAGAGTAGGGACAGACACACTAGAGTAGGGACAGCCACACTAGAGTAGGGACAGACACACTAGGGGCAGATGCACTAGAGTAGGGACAGCCACACTAGAGTAGGGACAGACACTAGAGTAGGGACAGCCACACTAGAGTAGGGACAGCCACGATAGAGTAGGGACAGCCACACTAGAGTATGGACAGACACACTAGAGTAGGGACAGCCACACTAGAGTAGGGACAGCCACACTAGACTAGGAACAGCCACACTAGACTAGGGACAGCCACACTAGGGACAGACGCACTAGAGTAGGGACAGACACACTAGGGACAGATGCACTAGAGTAGGGACAGCCACACTAGACTAGGAACAGCCACACTAGACTAGGGACAGCCACACTAGGGACAGACGCACTAGAGTAGGGACAGACACACTAGGGACAGATGCACTAGAGTAGGGACAGACACACTAGGGACAGACACACTAGAGTAGGGACAGACACACTAGGGACAGATGCACTAGAGTAGGGACAGCCACACTAGGGACAGACACACTAGAGTAGGGACAGACACACTAGGGGCAGATACACTAGAGTAGGGACAGCCACACTAGGGACAGCCACACTAGAGTAGGGACAGCCACACTAGACTAGGAACAGCCACACTAGACTAGGGACAGCCACACTAGGGACAGCCACACTAGAGTAGGGACAGCCACACTACAACTGGATCAAGTCATAGTAAGCTACATTCTTTCAAATCTTCTTACCCTAAAACCCCTCTATCACTACAAATATTATTACCTTAAGCCCCCCCCCCCTTCCAATACAACTGTCCTTACCATAAGACCCCCACCGTTTATACAAATCTCCTTATCCTAAGGCCCCCCCCCCTATACAAATTTTGTTTAAGGCCCCCTATACACATGTCCTTACCTTGTACTCCCCCCCCCCCTTATACAAATGTCCTTACCTTGAGCCCCCCCTCCCTTATACAAATGTCCTTACCTTGAGCACCCCCACCCTACACAAATGTCCTTACCTTGAGCCCCCCCCCCCCTATACAAATGTCCTTACTTTGAGCCCCCCCCCCTATACAAATGTCCTTACTTTGAGCACCCCCCCTTATACAAATGTCCTTACCTTGAGCCCCCCTCCCTACACAAATGTCCTTACCTTGAGCCCCACCTCCCTTATACAAATGTCCTTACGTTGAGCCCCCCCCCCCCTTATACAAATGTCCTTACCTTGAGCCCCCCCCCCTACACAAATGTCCTTACCTTGAGCCCCCCCCTACACAAATGTCCTTACCTTGAGCCCCCCCCCTTATACAAATGTCTTTACCTTGAGCCCCCCCCCCCTACACAAATGTCCTTACCTTGAGCCCCCCCCCTACACAAATGTCCTTACCTTGAGCCCCCCCCCCTACACAAATGTCCTTACCTTGAGCCCCCCCCCCCCCTTATACAAATGTCCTTACCTTGAGCCCCCCCCCCTTATACAAATGTCCTTACCTTGAGCCCCCCCCTATACAAATGTCCTTACCTTGAGCTCCCCCCCCTTATACAAATGTCCTTACCTTGAGCCCCCCCCCCCCCATATACAAATGTCCTTACCTTGAGCCCCCCCCATATACAAATGTCCTTACCTTGAGCACCCCCCTCCCTTATACAAATGTCCTTACCTTGAGCCCCCCCCCCTACACAAATGTCCTTACCTTGAGCCCCCCCCCTACACAAATGTCCTTACCTTGAGGCCCCCCCCCTTATACAAATGTCCTTACCTTGAGCCCCCCCCCTACACAAATGTCCTTACCTTGAGGCCCCCCCCCCTTATACAAATGTCCTTACCTTGAGCACCCCCCTACACAAATGTCCTTACCTTGAGTCCCCCCCTATACAAATGTCCTTACCTTGAGCCCCCCCCCCCTTATACAAATGTCCTTACCTTGAGCCCCCCCTACACAAATGTCCTTACCTTGAGCTCCCCCCCCCTTATACAAATGTCCTTACCTTGAGCCCCCCCTACACAAATGTCCTTACCTTGAGCTCCCCCCCCCCCTTTATACAAATGTCCTTACCTTGAGCCCCCCCCCCCCTTATACAAATGTCCTTACCTTGAGCCCCCCCCCCCCTTATACAAATGTCCTTACCTTGACCCCCCCCTATACAAATGTCCTTACCTTGAGCTCCCCCCCCCCCTATACAAATGTCCTTACCTTAAGGCCCAGTAGATTCCATCCTCTGACCAGCTGAGACAGAACAAACATCTGGGGAAGTCAAGTGTCAGGACAACATCAGGACAACAGGCAGAGATTTAAAACACTATCTTAAGGGCAGACAGCCACACAACTGACCTAAGGTCAGACAACCACACAACTGACCTAAGGACAGACAACCACACAACTGACCTAAGGACACACAACTGACCTGAGGACAGCAACGTCCAGGTAGCTGGCACTTAGAATGTCCAGAGCGCCTGGAGCTCTGGTACCACTAGTTACAGCAGACGCCAACTTCTGCTTGACGTAATCTTTATCAACAGCGGAGGTCAGCTTGAGGAAGGCGTAGTTATTGGAGTCTGGGAGAAATGCCACCAGTGTGTCCTTCCTGCCACAGCGGCAGACCATGCCCCCATCTGTGCTCTGTAAGGGTTGGTGCACATACTGGTTATACAACTCAATACATCAATGGAACTTGTCGACCTACAACTACAGGTTGTACAACTCAATACATAAATGGAACTTGTCGACCTACAACTACAGGTGGGCACAAGCTGGTTATACAACTCAATACATCAATGGAACTTGTCGACCTACAACTACAGGTTATACAACTCAATACATCAATGGAACTTGTCGACCTACAACTACAGGTTATACAACTCAATACATCAATGGAACTTGTCGACCTACAACTACAGGTTATACAACTCAATACATCAATGGAACTTGTCGACCTACAACTACAGGTTATACAACTCAATACATCAATGGAACTTGTCGACCTACAACTACAGGTTATACAACTCAATACATCAATGGAACTTGTCGACCTACAACTACAGGTTATACAACTCAATACATCAATGGAACTTGTCGACCTACAACTACAGGTTATACAACTCAATACATCAATGGAACTTGTCGACCTACAACTACAGGTTATACAACTCAATACATCAATGGAACTTGTCGACCTACAACTACAGGTGGGCACAAGCTGGTTATACAACTCAATACATCAATGGAACTTGTCGACCTACAACTACAGGTGGGCACAAGCTGGTTATACAACTCAATACATCAATGGAACTTGTCGACCTACAACTACAGGTGGGCACAAGCTGGTTATACAACTCAATACATCAATGGAACTTGTCGACCTACAACTACAGGTGGGCACAAGCTGGTTATACAACTCAATACATCAATGGAACTTGTCGACCTACAACTACAGGTTATACAACTCAATACATCAATGGAACTTGTCGACCTACAACTACAGGTGGGCACAAGCTGGTTATACAACTCAATACATCAATGGAACTTGTCGACCTACAACTACAGGTTATACAACTCAATACATCAATGGAACTTGTCGACCTACAACTACAGGTGGGCACAAGCTGGTTATACAACTCAATACATCAATGGAACTTGTCAACCTACAACTACAGGTTATACAACTCAATACATCAATGGAACTTGTCGACCTACAACTACAGGTGGGCACAAGCTGGTTATACAACTCAATACATCAATGGAACTTGTCAACCTACAACTACAGGTGGGCACATACTGGTTATACAACTCAATACATCAATGGAACTTGTCGACCTACAACTACAGGTGGGCACAAGCTGGTTATACAACTCAATACATCAATGGAACTTGTCGACCTACAACTACAGGTGGGCACATACTGGTTATACAACTCAATACATCAATGGAACTTGTCGACCTACAACTACAGGTGGGCACAAGCTGGTTATACAACTCAATACATCAATGGAACTTGTCGACCTACAACTACAGGTGGGCACATACTGGTTATACAACTCAATACATCAATGGAACTACCTACAACTACAGGTAGGTACCTTGACGAAAACAACAAGTGGGTACTTTCATGACTACAACAACTATACAAACAAAAAGTGGGTGCCATGAGTACAAGAAAACGACAGAAAAAAGTGGGTACCTTGAGTGTGACAACAAAAAGTGGGTACCTTGAGTGTGACAAAAAAAAGTGGGTACCTTGAGTGTGACAACAAATAGTGGGTACCTTGAGTGTGACAACAAAAAGTGGGTACCTTGAGTGTGACAAGAAAAAGTGGGTACCTTGACTGGGATGACTGTGTTACAGTTCTCACAAATGACCTCCATTGTGGCAGTCTGTGAGTCAGCTGTAGACAATGTGCAGATGTCACTCATGCGAGCCAGAGGTGCTATTGGTGTCTGCTCCTCTTCTATGCTGTGCTGACTGGTCACATCATCAAACAGGAAGGCCAGGTTTTCACGGGAGGTACCTGGTGGACAGTCACAGGTGTGTAACTGTGTCCGTCATACAGCAGATGTGTAACTGTGTCAGTCATACAGCAGGTGTGTAACTGTGTCCGTCATACAGCAGGTGTGTAACTGTGTCAGTCTATAGACAGGTGTGTAACTGTGTCAGTCTAGACTAAGAAAGAAATGATTGAAAACCTTTCCCAACATAAATATTGGCTGCATTCGTGTTGACCTTGAGCTGTGACCTTTGAGCTCGAAGGACACTCCGCTGAGGCTTGACGGGAGTGGCGAAGCAGGGAATGTCTGGCTGCTGGTACTCCCAGAGAGGCTGCCACAGGCGCAGGCCGTTCTCCAGCTTCAGGGATTCAAAGTCTGAGTCCTGGGGAGACAGGGGGTTCAAAGTCTAAGTCCTGGGGAGACAGGGGGTTCAAAGTCTGAGTCCTGGGGAGACAGGGGGTTCAAAGTCTGAGTCCTGGGGAGACAGGGGATTCAAAGTCTGAGTCCTGGGGAGACAGGGGGTTCAAAGTCCTGGGGAGACAGGGGGTTCAAAGTCTGAGTCCTGGGGAGACAGGGGGTTCAAAGTCTGAGTCCTGGGGAGACAGGGGGTTCAAAGTGTCCTGGGGAGACAGGGGGTTCAAAGTCTGAGTCCTGGGGAGACAGGGGGTTCAAAGTCTGAGTCCTGGGGAGACAGGGGGTTCAAAGTCTCAGTCCTGGGGAGACAGGGGGTTCAAAGTCTGAGTCCTGGGGAGACAGGGGGTTCAAAGTCTGAGACCTGGGGAGACAGGGGGTTCAAAGTCTGAGTCCTGGGGAGACAGGGGGTTCAAAGTCTGAGTCCTGGGGAGACAGGGGGTTCAAAGTCTGAGTCCTGGGGAGACAGGGGGTTCAAAGTCTGAGTCCTAGGGAGACAGGGGGTTCAAAGTCTGAGTCCTGGGGAGACAGGGGGTTCAAAGTCTGAGTCCTGGGGAGACAGGGGGTTCAAAGTCTGAGTCCTGGGGAGACAGGGGGTTCAAAGTCTGAGTCCTGGGGAGACAGGGGGTTCAAAGTCTGAGTCCTGGGGAGACAGGGGGTTCAAAGTCTGAGTCCTGGGGAGACAGGGGGTTCAAAGTCTGAGTCCTGGGGAGACAGGGGGTTCAAAGTCTGAGTCCTGGGGAGACAGGGGGTTCAAAGTCTGAGTCCTGGGGAGACAGGGGGTTCAAAGTCTGAGTCCTGGGGAGACAGGGGGTTCAAAGTCTGAGTCCTGGGGAGACAGGGGGTTCAAAGTCTGAGTCCTGGGGAGACAGGGGGTTCAAAGTCTGAGTCCTGGGGAGACAGGGGGTTCAAAGTCTGAGACCTGGGGAGACAGGGGGTTCAAAGTCTGAGTCCTGGGGAGACAGGGGGTTCAAAGTCTGAGTCCTGGGGAGACAGGGGGTTCAAAGTGTCCTGGGGAGACAGGGGGTTCAAAGTCTGAGTCCTGGGGAGACAGGGGGTTCAAAGTCTGAGTCCTGGGGAGACAGGGGGTTCAAAGTCTGAGTCCTGGGGAGACAGGGGGTTCAAAGTCTGAGTCCTGGGGAGACAGGGGGTTCAAAGTCTCAGTCCTGGGGAGACAGGGGGTTCAAAGTCTGAGTCCTGGGGAGACAGGGGGTTCAAAGTCTGAGACCTGGGGAGACAGGGGGTTCAAAGTCTGAGTCCTGGGGAGACAGGGGGTTCAAAGTCTGAGTCCTGGGGAGACAGGGGGTTCAAAGTCTGAGTCCTGGGGAGACAGGGGGTTCAAAGTCTGAGTCCTGGGGAGACAGGGGGTTCAAAGTCTGAGTCCTGGGGAGACAGGGGGTTCAAAGTCTGAGTCCTGGGGAGACAGGGGGTTCAAAGTGTCCTGGGGAGACAGGGGGTTCAATCAGATACCAGAACCACAGCTAAAGTTTGCTGGCATTTGTAACCAAATGGAATTCCACTCAGTGAGTTATCAAACATAAATGTTAAGTAAATGAACCAATCAAACACCAAAACACCTTAAGTAAATGAACCAATCAAACACCAAAACACCTTAAGTAAATGTACCAATCAAACACCAAAGCACCTTAAGTAAATGAACCAATCAAACACCAAAGCACCTTAAGTAAATGTACCAATCAAACACCAAAGCACCTTAAGTAAATGAACCAATCAAACACCAAAGCACCTTAAGTAAATGTACCAATCAAACACCAAAGCACCTTAAGTAAATGTACCAATCAAACACCAAAGCACCTTAAGTAAATGAACCAATCAAACACCAAAGCACCTTAAGTAAATGTACCAATCAAACACCAAAGCACCTTAAGTAAATGTACCAATCAAACACCAAAGCACCTTAAGTAAATGTACCAATCAAACACCAAAGCACCTTAAGTAAATGTACCAATCAAACACCAAAGCACCTTAAGTAAATGTACCAATCAAACACCAAAGCACCTTAAGTAAATGAACCAATCAAACACCAAAGCACCTTAAGTAAATGCACCAGTGGTGCAAACAGATAAACAAAGAGCTGCACGGTGCTGAGTGAGTGCATGTGGGGTGACCCGCCCTTCATGTCACGCAGCGCCATGAACTCTGCATCTGCATCTTCACACTCGGAGGCCGCGTCCAGGATAATCCAGTGCAGCGTGTAGAGTAGCTTGGTCTCACTGGGGCCAAAGCTGTTCTCTGGGTTACCCTGGGGATGTACATGACATTTGTCTTAACCTGTCAATGTACATGACATTTGTCTTAACCTGTCAATCTACATGACATTTGTCTTAACCTGTCAATGTACATGACATGTGTCTTAACCTGTCAATGTACATGACATTTGTCTTAACCTGTCAATGTACATGACATTTGTCTTAACCTGTCAATCTACATGACATTTGTCTTAACCTGTCAATGTACATGCCATTTGTCTTAACCTGTCAATCTACATGACATTTGTCTTAACCTGTCAATCTACATGACATTTGTCTTAACCTGTCAATGTACATGACATTTGTCTTAACCTGTCAATCTACATGACATTTGTCTTAACCTGTCAATGTACATGACATGTGTCTTAACCTGTCAATCTACATGACATTTGTCTTAACCTGTCAATGTACATGACATTTGTCTTAACCTGTCAATCTACATGACATTTGTCTTAACCTGTCAATCTACATGACATTTGTCTTAACCTGTCAATCTACATGACATTTGTCTTAACCTGTCAATCTACATGACATTTGTCTTAACCTGTCAATGTACATGACATTTGTACATGTATTGTCTACATTAGGACAAACTATTTTGTTATCTTGTATTCAATAAGTTCATTAAATTGTACCATCATATCAGCATTTAGCGCAAATTTGCCTAAAAAATTCTACATCAATAAAAGATCTTGGGCTACCTAGATGAAAAGATCTTGGGCTACCTAGATGAAAAGATCTTGGGCTACCTAGATGAAAAGATCTTGGGCTACCTAGATGAAAAGATCTTGGGCTACCTAGATGAAAAGATCTTGGGCTACCTAGATGAAAAGATCTTGGGCTACCTAGATGAAAAGATCTTGGGCTACCTAGATGAAAAGATCTTGGGCTACCTAGATGAAAAGATCTTGGGCTACCTAGATGAAAAGATCTTGGGCTACCTAGATGAAAAGATCTTGGGCTACCTAGATGAAAAGATCTTGGGCTACCTAGATGAAAAGATCTTGGGCTACCTAGATGAAAAGATCTTGGGCTACCTAGATGAAAAGATCTTGGGCTACCTAGATGAAAAGATGTTGCCTTACCTTCTTGCAAGCTGCAATGAGAGAGGAGCAGGCGTGCATGAGGTGGGGGAATGAAGCCTGGACCACCTTCCACCTGGACACACTCTGGACAGCCTCACACAGGCTGGGGGACAGGCCATGGAGAATGTTCTGGACCACCACACGTTCAAACGACTGGAACATTCACATACAAACAGTTAACTTATCATACAAACATTCACATACAAACAGTTAACTTATCATACAAACATTCACATACAAACAGAAAACTTATCATACAAACATTCACATACAAACAGTTAACTTATCATACAAACATTCACATACAAACAGTTAACTTATCATACAAACATTCACATACAAACAGTAAACTTATCATACAAACATTCACATACAAACAGTAAACTTATCATACAAACATTCACATACAAACAGTTAACTTATCATACAAACATTCACATACAAACAGAAAACTTATCATACAAACATTCACATACAAACAGAAAACTTGTCATACAAACATTCACATACAAACAGAAAACTTATCATACAAACATTCACATACAAACAGAAAACTTGTCATACAAACATTCACATACAAACAGAAAACTTATCATACAAACATTCACATACAAACAGTTAACTTGTCATACAAACATTCACATACAAACATTCACATACAAACAGAAAACTTATCATACAAACATTCACATACAAACAGAAAACTTGTCATACAAACATTCACATACAAACAGAAAACTTATCTTACAAACACTCACATACAAACAGCAAACTAATCATACCAATATTAGCATACAAACAGCAAACTAATCATACCAATATTAGCATACAAACAGCAAACTAAACATCCAAAAACATTGACAAACAAACAGCAAACTAAACATCCAAAAACATTGACAAACAAACAGCAAACTAAACATCCAAAAACATTGACAAACTAACAGCAAACTATACATCCAAAAACATTGACAAACAAACCATATGACTTATGTCAATCAAACAGCCACCATGTCCTTACCACACAAGAAGCTTCACACAACTTGCCTTGCTTGGGTCTGATGAAGGGGCTGGAGGTATAGCATTCATATTAAAAATAAAAGTATTGGTCACAGAATCTATCTCTACTTAGTGTGGGTGTGTCTGTCTGATGTGCTTACCTGGTCTGTCTGTCTGATGTGCTTACCTGGTGTGTCTGATGTGCTTACCTGGTGTGTCTGTCTGATGTGCTTACCTGGTCTGTCTGTCTGATGTGCTTACCTGGTGTGTCTGTCTGATGTGCTTACCTGGTGTGTCTGATGTGCTTACCTGGTGTGTCTGTCTGATGTGCTTACCTGGTGTGTCTGTCTGATGTGCTTACCTGGTGTGTCTGTCTGATGTGCTTACCTGGGGTGTCTGTCTGATGTGCTTACCTGGTGTGTCTGTCTGATGTGCTTACCTGGTGTGTCTGTCTGATGTGCTTACCTGGTGTGTCTGTCTGATGTGCTTACCTGGTGTGTCTGTCTGATGTGCTTACCTGGTGTGTCTGATGTGCTTACCTGGTGTGTCTGTCTGATGTGCTTACCTGGTGTGTCTGTCTGATGTGCTTACCTGGTGTGTCTGTCTGATGTGCTTACCTGGGGTGTCTGTCTGATGTGCTTACCTGGTGTGTCTGTCTGATGTGCTTACCTGGTGTGTCTGTCTGATGTGCTTACCTGGTGTGTCTGTCTGATGTGCTTACCTGGTGTGTCTGATGTGCTTACCTGGGGTGTCTGTCTGATGTGCTTACCTGGTCTGTCTGTCTGATGTGCTTACCTGGTGTGTCTGTCTGATGTGCTTACCTGGTGTGTCTGTCTGATGTGCTTACCTGGTGTGTCTGTCTGATGTGCTTACCTGGTGTGTCTGTCTGATGTGCTTACCTGGTGTGTCTGTCTGATGTGCTTACCTGGTGTGTCTGATGTGCTTACCTGGTGTGTCTGTCTGATGTGCTTACCTGGTCTGTCTGTCTGATGTGCTTACCTGGTGTGTCTGTCTGATGTGCTTACCTGGTGTGTCTGATGTGCTTACCTGGTGTGTCTGTCTGATGTGCTTACCTGGTGTGTCTGTCTGATGTGCTTACCTGGTGTGTCTGTCTGATGTGCTTACCTGGTGTGTCTGTCTGATGTGCTTACCTGGTGTGTCTGTCTGATGTGCTTACCTGGGGTGTCTGTCTGATGTGCTTACCTGGTGTGTCTGTCTGATGTGCTTACCTGGTGTGTCTGTCTGATGTGCTTACCTGGTGTGTCTGTCTGATGTGCTTACCTGGTGTGTCTGTCTGATGTGCTTACCTGGTGTGTCTGATGTGCTTACCTGGTGTGTCTGTCTGATGTGCTTACCTGGTCTGTCTGTCTGATGTGCTTACCTGGTGTGTCTGTCTGATGTGCTTACCTGGTGTGTCTGTCTGATGTGCTTACCTGGTGTGTCTGATGTGCTTACCTGGTGTGTCTGTCTGATGTGCTTACCTGGTGTGTCTGATGTGCTTACCTGGTGTGTCTGTCTGATGTGCTTACCTGGTCTGTCTGTCTGATGTGCTTACCTGGTGTGTCTGTCTGATGTGCTTACCTGGTGTGTCTGATGTGCTTACCTGGTGTGTCTGTCTGATGTGCTTACCTGGTGTGTCTGTCTGATGTGCTTACCTGGTGTGTCTGATGTGCTTACCTGGTGTGTCTGTCTGATGTGCTTACCTGGTGTGTCTGTCTGATGTGCTTACCTGGTGTGTCTGTCTGATGTGCTTACCTGGTGTGTTTGTCTGATGTGCTTACCTGGGGTGTTTGTCTGATGTGCTTACCTGGTGTGTCTGTCTGATGTGCTTACCTGGGGTGTCTGTCTGATGTGCTTACCTGGTGTGTCTGTCTGATGTGCTTACCTGGTGTGTCTGTCTAATGTGCTTACCTGGTGTGTCTGTCTGATGTGCTTACCTGGTGTGTCTGATGTGCTTACCTGGTGTGTCTGTCTGATGTGCTTACCTGGTGTGTCTGTCTGATGTGCTTACCTGGGGTGTCTGTCTGATGTGCTTACCTGGTGTGTCTGTCTGATGTGCTTACCTGGTGTGTCTGTCTGATGTGCTTACCTGGTGTGTCTGTCTGATGTGCTTACCTGGTGTGTCTGTCTGATGTGCTTACCTGGTGTGTCTGTCTGATGTGCTTACCTGGTGTGTCTGTCTGATGTGCTTACCTGGTGTGTCTGATGTGCTTACCTGGTGTGTCTGTCTGATGTGCTTACCTGGTCTGTCTGTCTGATGTGCTTACCTGGTGTGTCTGTCTGATGTGCTTACCTGGGGTGTTTGTCTGATGTGCTTACCTGGTGTGTTTGTCTGATGTGCTTACCTGGTGTGTCTGTCTGATGTGCTTACCTGGTGTGTCTGTCTGATGTGCTTACCTGGTGTGTCTGTCTGATGTGCTTACCTGGTGTGTCTGATGTGCTTACCTGGTGTGTCTGTCTGATGTGCTTACCTGGTGTGTCTGTCTGATGTGCTTACCTGGTGTGTCTGTCTGATGTGCTTACCTGGTGTGTCTGTCTGATGTGCTTACCTGGTGTGTCTGTCTGATGTGCTTACCTGGTGTGTCTGTCTGATGTGCTTACCTGGTGTGTCTGTCTGATGTGCTTACCTGGTGTGTCTGTCTGATGTGCTTACCTGGTGTGTCTGTCTGATGTGCTTACCTGGTGTGTCTGTCTGATGTGCTTACCTGGTGTGTCTGTCTGATGTGCTTACCTGGTGTGTCTGTCTGATGTGCTTACCTGGTGTGTCTGTCTGATGTGCTTACCTGGTGTGTCTGTCTGATGTGCTTACCTGGTGTGTCTGTCTGATGTGCTTACCTGGTGTGTCTGTCTGATGTGCTTACCTGGTGTGTCTGATGTGCTTACCTGGTGTGTCTGTCTGATGTGCTTACCTGGTCTGTCTGTCTGATGTGCTTACCTGGTGTGTCTGTCTGATGTGCTTACCTGGTGTGTCTGATGTGCTTACCTGGTGTGTCTGTCTGATGTGCTTACCTGGTGTGTCTGTCTGATGTGCTTACCTGGTGTGTCTGTCTGATGTGCTTACCTGGTGTGTCTGTCTGATGTGCTTACCTGGTGTGTCTGTCTGATGTGCTTACCTGGGGTGTCTGTCTGATGTGCTTACCTGGTGTGTCTGTCTGATGTGCTTACCTGGTGTGTCTGTCTGATGTGCTTACCTGGTGTGTCTGTCTGATGTGCTTACCTGGTGTGTCTGTCTGATGTGCTTACCTGGTGTGTCTGTCTGATGTGCTTACCTGGTGTGTCTGTCTGATGTGCTTACCTGGTGTGTCTGTCTGATGTGCTTACCTGGTCTGTCTGATGTGCTTACCTGGTGTGTCTGCTTACCTGGTGTGTCTGTCTGATGTGCTTACCTGGTGTGTCTGTCTGATGTGCTTACCTGGTGTGTCTGTCTGATGTGCTTACCTGGTGTGTCTGTCTGATGTGCTTACCTGGTGTGTCTGTCTGATGTGCTTACCTGGTGTGTCTGTCTGATGTGCTTACCTGGTGTGTCTGTCTGATGTGCTTACCTGGTGTGTCTGTCTGATGTGCTTACCTGGTGTGTCTGTCTGATGTGCTTACCTGGTGTGTCTGTCTGATGTGCTTACCTGGGGTGTTTGTCTGATGTGCTTACCTGGGGTGTTTGTCTGATGTGCTTACCTGGGGTGTTTGTCTGATGTGCTTACCTGGTGTGTCTGTCTGATGTGCTTACCTGGGGTGTCTGTCTGATGTGCTTACCTGGTCTGTCTGATGTGCTTACCTGGTGTGTCTGTCTGATGTGCTTACCTGGGGTGTTTGTCTGATGTGCTTACCTGGGGTGTTTGTCTGATGTGCTTACCTGGGGTGTCTGTCTGATGTGCTTACCTGGTGTGTCTGTCTGATGTGCTTACCTGGTGTGTCTGTCTGATGTGCTTACCTGGTGTGTCTGTCTGATGTGCTTACCTGGTGTGTGTCTGTCTGATGTGCTTACCTGGGGTGTTTGTCTGATGTGCTTACCTGGTGTGTCTGTCTGATGTGCTTACCTGGTGTGTCTGTCTGATGTGCTTACCTGGTGTGTCTGCTTACCTGGTGTGTCTGTCTGATGTGCTTACCTGGTGTGTCTGTCTGATGTGCTTACCTGGTGTGTCTGTCTGATGTGCTTACCTGGTGTGTCTGTCTGATGTGCTTACCTGGTGTGTCTGTCTGATGTGCTTACCTGGTGTGTCTGTCTGATGTGCTTACCTGGTGTGTGTCTGTCTGATGTGCTTACCTGGGGTGTCTGTCTGATGTGCTTACCTGGTGTGTCTGTCTGATGTGCTTACCTGGGGTGTCTGTCTGATGTGCTTACCTGGGGTGTCTGTCTGATGTGCTTACCTGGTGTGTCTGTCTAATGTGCTTACCTGGTGTGTGTCTGTCTGATGTGCTTACCTGGTGTGTGTCTGTCTGATGTGCTTACCTGGTGTGTCTGTCTGATGTGCTTACCTGGGGTGTTTGTCTGATGTGCTTACCTGGGGTGTTTGTCTGATGTGCTTACCTGGTGTGTCTGTCTGATGTGCTTACCTGGTGTGTCTGTCTGATGTGCTTACCTGGTGTGTCTGTCTGATGTGCTTACCTGGTGTGTCTGTCTGATGTGCTTACCTGGGGTGTCTGTCTGATGTGCTTACCTGGTGTGTCTGTCTGATGTGCTTACCTGGGGTGTCTGTCTGATGTGCTTACCTGGGGTGTTTGTCTGATGTGCTTACCTGGTGTGTCTGTCTAATGTGCTTACCTGGGGTGTCTGTCTGATGTGCTTACCTGGGGTGTTTGTCTGATGTGCTTACCTGGTGTGTGTCTGTCTGATGTGCTTACCTGGGGTGTCTGTCTGATGTGCTTACCTGGTGTGTCTGTCTGATGTGCTTACCTGGTGTGTCTGTCTGATGTGCTTACCTGGTGTGTCTGTCTGATGTGCTTACCTGGTGTGTCTGTCTGATGTGCTTACCTGGTGTGTCTGCTTACCTGGTTTGCCTCCAAAAGAAGGTCTGGATGGGAAGGGGAACTGACTGGTCCCCATCAAGGTCATCTCCACTTTGGGCTTTTCTTTTAACCATTGTCAACTTGTTTTGTTATTAGTCTAGTACTTGTTAACTTTTTAACTGTTAACCAAAAAATATTTGAATGTTAAAATCAGTTAATGTCTTATTGACTCAAATTTACTTACAATAGGTGTACACAAAAATTATTAATAATATTAAGTTATTCAGAATTAACTATCCTTTTCACTATGGGATGGGGTGGCCTAGCGGTATAGAGCTAGGCCGCTAACCCGAAGTCTCGAGTACAAATCCAGGTTCAAATCAGTAAAATGTCCTTGAGTCCACCCAGCTTTGATGGGTACCTAACTCACATTAAGGAAACAAAGATGCTGGGCATTGTGCTGACCACGCTATCCTTTCGTATGCCGAGGTCTTTGAAGCAGTTGAACTTCTTTTGCCTCATGTTGGGCGTGAACAGGAAATAATGATCATCACAAAAAGCCAGACCACTGACCCTAAAATCACATCACATCACAGCATCACAAAAAGCCAGACCTCTGACCACAAAATCACATCACATCACAGCATCACAAAAAGCCAGACCACTGACCCTAAAATCACATCACATCTCAGCAGACAATCCCCCTAAAGACAAATGACCTCAAGGACAAATGACCTCAAGGACAAATGATCTCAAAGACAAATGATCTCAAGGACAAATGATCAAGGACAAATGATCTCAAGGGTAAATGATATCAAGGACTAATGACCTCAAGGACAAATGACCTCAAGGACAAATGATCTCAAAGACAAATGATCTCAAGGACAAATGATCTCAAGGACAAATGATCTCAAGGGTAAATGATATCAAGGACTAATGACCTCAAGGACAAATGACCTCAAGGACAAATGATCTCAAAGACAAATGATCTCAAGGACAAATGACCTCAAGGACAAATGATCTCAAGGACAAATGATCTCAAGGACAAATGATCTCAAGGACAAATGATCTCAAGGTTAAATGATCTCAAGGACTAATGGTCTCAAGGATAAATGATCTCAAAGACAAATTATCTCAAGGACAAATGATCTCAAAGACAAATTATCTCAAGGACAAATGATCTCAAGGACAAATGATCTCAAGGACAAATGATCTCAAGGTTAAATGATCTCAAGGACTAATGGTCTCAAGGATAAATGATCTCAAGGACAAATTATCTCAAGGACAAATGATCTCAAAGACAAATTATCTCAAGGACAAATGATCTCAAGGACTAATGGTCTCAAGGACAAATTATCTCAAGGACAAATGATCTCAAAGACAAATGATCTCAAGGACAAATGATCTCAAGGACTAATGGTCTCAAGGACAAATGATCTCAAGGACAAATGATCTCAAGGACAAATGATCTCAAGGACTAATGGTCTCAAGGACAAATTATCTCAAGGACAAATGATCTCAAGGACAAATTATCTCAAGGACTAATGATCTCAAGGACTAATGATCTCAAGGACTAATGATCTCAAGGACTAATGATCTCAAGGACAAAAGATACCAGGAGAAAATATATCAGGACAAATGATACCATGGAGAACTGATCTCAGACAAAATATCTAAGGCAAAATATCTCACAGCAAAATTTTAATAGTAATTACGATGATTTTAGTTAATTTGAAATTATAACAATTGTGAATAAAATGAATTTGTTCAAAAGATTTGAGCCTCGAGTTCAAGTCAGTAGGCCGTCCCTGAGTCCACCCAACTCTGATGGGTAAGAATCCCGGTTCAAATCAGTAGACCGTCCCTGAGTCCACCCAACTCTGATGGGTACCTAACTCAAGTTATGGAATGTAAAGGCGGCTGGACATAGTGCTGACCACACTATCTCTTTATAAGCCGAGGTCACAGAAACAAGTGAACTCTACTTCACTTGCCCTATTGACTGTCATGTTTGAAAAAAGCAACTTTACTTTTGAGAACCCCCCCCCCCTCCCCCCCCCCTCCCCCATAAAAACAATAACTTTAACATGCCATTATTGATTTTATTATTCCTGCCTTGCTATGTTCTAGACCATATGAACACAATTGCTGAAGGCTTCGTATGCAATAAAAAATTTAAGTTAAGAGTTAAGGAGTTAGGACATACATAGTAAAATTCATGGTTTCATTGTACTTTAAGGCATAATTTAAATCTACAATCCAATTGTAAATACCAAAAAGAACATTAAGAAGCTAGCTCGTCCACGTTATCTTAGTAGATCTAGTATTGGGTGATACTTGTAAATATTGTATGGAAACATGGAAACGGAAGGGAGATAATAGCTTTTCCCTGCAATTTCATACAATTCGATTTAGTAGTTTTCTTTATTAATTATTTTTGAAAAAGTGGTCCAAACTTTGACAAAAGTGGGATGGCGGAACAGGACATGATTTTTTGTAAAAAAGCGGAACAATTCTGCTTTTGTGTGGGGACAGTAGGAATGTCTGCTATATTGTACATATTCAAGTGATGACATTCTTTTTTTGCTGACATAGATAGTATGAAGTGATATAAATATTAAGAATGAAATCATATGACGTACCATCAGGACACACACAAGTCAACTAGTGGGCCACAATATAGAAGAGTATGTTCATCACAACATAAGTCAAGACGTTCATTTGTTATCACGTAAAGGGTTCCACAATATAGAAGAAATATAATGATACCAACACATGCTATCTCATTCTGTCGCACTTTACTACTATTTTGTGCTGTCCTATTTGAATTATTATTGGCCGAAGCTGCTAGTTCTATTGTCCATACTGACTCTGACAAAATCCAATCACAAATCATATGACAAACCTGCTAGGGGTCATTCTGAGAAATATTCAGCTACAATGTTAATTACATAATGTAAGGCCAATACCTTTGATATTTAACACTTTGTAATGTGCACTTCTCGTAATTCACCGCCCCGACATTTAGCATTTTGCAATTTACCAACACCTTAAAGTAAAATAAATATGGGCCTAATATTATTATAGTAGTAATATAAATATGCCCTCTTTGCTAATAATATGGGCATCCAAAATGTTAAATAGTAGTAAATAACATTTTAATAGGGCCTATTGGCCCCATGGGGGATCTAGTAGTATTAATGTTTAATTTAATGAAAGTATCAATTTACCAAATCTAACTAAATCTATAGGCCTATGTGATCACTAGAAGTAGAAGAATACAGCTAGAATCTAGTCTAGGCCTGATCAACTAGAATCTACTTACATTTTGAATCTATTAGATCTAGATGTAGAGATTTAAGTCTAGATACTAGATGTCTAGATCTTGAGATTTTTAGTAGCAGACTATTTTCTAGGTAGGAAAAACCTTAGTTTAGCGTCAGTTATTATTCCAGAATGGTATAGCAGTAAAAAAAACAGTAAAACAATGGCAAAGTCTGTCACACAGTTCCGGAATCCACATGAAGTACTGTAAACCATACTTTATTTGGTGTCATCTTTTATTTTTAATTAAAAAATGTTTAAAATTTGGATAGATTGATTTTAATTGCGTGTTAAATACGGCTTTACAAATCATTTTGTGTTGCTAGTTATTTTTAAGTGATTCAGATAAAGATTTCTGCAACTAAACATTGTTCAACAGGGTTCGTATGCAGTCTGAATAAAGTCTAGAGTTTAGAAAAGTGAATTTCAGACTTTAAAAAGTCTACACTGTGGTATGACGTTTTTTGCTGGATGGCAGAAGAAACCTGATTGCTTAGTTATTACATCATTGGGGGAGGGGGGGGGGGGGGGGGATTGTTAGACCTGTCTTTTTTTTTTGTTGCGTGACTGACAGTGTAAATGTGTTACAAGTATTTAAAATTGTTATTTAATGAAAGAAAGATTGGCCATACAAATCGAAACCTTCCCCCCCCCCCCCTATTGTTTCTTAAATTTGTCTGAAGTTGCAGGCAGGCAGTCATATCAAAAAAATTATGAGGGAAGCAGTAAGTGGTAGTCTACGTATAATTTATCTACCTGTACTTTCAATTCACTTTGCAAAAGCTGACCATTAGGGTTAGACTAACCTGCCACCCCTAGTAACTAAAGGTCACTGATATCTAAACTTGTGTGAACTCTGTTGTGTGGTTCCGTTTGGCTGGGGACGTGGGAGAGGGGGAATACAAGTTCCAGTACAATTCAAGCTATGACGTATTAGACTGGACTAATGTGATCTCAGAGTGACCCCTCCACCGTTTTTGTGTGTGTGTGTGTGTGTGTGGTGGGGGGGGGGGGGGGGGGTGGGGGGGGGAAATACCGGTAGTTTTTAATAGCAGACAAAAGTTTCTCAGCTATAAGCACAAATAATAGTGTGGTTACAAAGGTCTGGTTTCATTTTCAAAATAGTGTATGAACCCTGGTTCTAGTCATTGTTACTATTTTTTAAATAATTTTTACTATTTTCGTAATTATTTTTACTTGGCCTATCAGCTAGCTAGATCTAATTAATTAATTATCGCAAATCTGCTGCAAGCCAAAAACATTGACATTATTATTTATATATATTTTTTAATTTTTAGATCTACTAATTTCCAGGCCTCTCTGTCTTGGGCTAGTCTCTCCAACTGTCTCCAGGTGTATCCAATCTTCTTAGTGTCTTCTTCCAATCGACTTTATTTATATTTCAATGGTCAAATAAACCATGGTTTACCCGGAGTTTACCGTTACTTATCTTTACGAAACTCAACAAACATTGAAGGATAATTTCCTACGCTAAACTAAGGTTTTACCAGATTCTGGATAATAAGTTATCTAGCATATTAGAATAATCTAGATCTAGATTTAGAATAAGAATAGGCTTGTAGTGCAGCAACTAGATCTAGAGATAGAAATCTAGATCACGAGATCTAGATCTTAGATCTAGTGCTTAGATTAGATAGATTAGATACTAATTAATAGTTAGACTAGTAGTAGTACTAGTAGTAGTAGGCCTACTTAACTTTACTACTAAACTTTAGTACTTAGATCTACTACTAGACTTCTAGATCTAGTTCCTAGATCTAAATCTAGTACTTTTACAGGTAAGCTATCGTTTTAGGTACGTAAAATCGTACGAAAAAGTTAGCTCATTGTCAAGGCTTTAATAGAAGTATATTGTGATATATTTGTGTCAAATATTATAGATAAATGAATAATAAACATAAATCAATGGCTAAATCTATATATATAAAGCAAAGTGGTCGGGTGCCCGATAGGGCACTTCCCGGCGCCGCAGGCGCGTCAAATTTGGCACGATGGTGCCTTGGGGCAATAGAACACGAGGGCCGGTGACGGTTGGCCGAAAAGTCTACGGAGAAGGGGTCAAAACTGACCTCGACTGACCGGCGCCTTATATGGGCTATATTAAGAAAAAAAAATTCCTCCGACGACCCCCCTTGAAATTTTGTGAGGTGGTAGGAGAACGCCTTGGGGTGTCACAAAAAACTCGGCATATCTCGGAAAAATCGGGAAGTGGGTCAAAACTGACCAGTCGTATTTCCCTATATAATCTTTGTATTTTATGGGAAAAACAGAGGGTCATTTCAAAACGGATTTTAGGGCACTTACCCTCTTTACATCTCGCTAATTTTCGGCATGTTTATAGGTAAATGGCTTGGCCGTACGGCTGACCTGTCAGTTTCACTCAAAGCCCTCGACGAGGGCTAACAAGTGACCGCGAGTGAAATTCTCTTTATATGAGCTCTATTACGGAAAAAAATGTCCTCCGACGACCCCCCTTGATATTTTGTGAGGTGGTAGGAGAAAGCCTTGGGGTGTCAAAAAAAACTCGGCATATCTCGGAAAAATCGGGAAGTGGGTCAAAACTGACCAGTTGTATTTCCCTATATAATCTTTGTATTTTATTGGAAAAACAGAGGGTCATTTCAACGCAGGCTTTAGGGTACTTAAACTCAGTATATCTGGCTAAATTTTTGCATACTCTTAGGTCAATGGCTTGACCTTTAGGGAAAACTGTCGGTTTCACTCAAAGCCCTCGACGAGGGCTAAAAAGTGACCGCGAGTGAAATTCTCTTTATATGAGCTCTATTACGAAAAAAAATTTCCTCCGACGACCCCCCTTGAAATTTTGTGAGGTGGTAGGAGAACACCTTGGGGTGTCACAAAAAACTCGGCATATCTGGGAAAACTTCGTAAAGCGGTCAAAACTGACCAGTTGTATTTCCCTATATAATCTTTGTATTTTATTGGAAAAACAGAGGGTCATTTCAACGCAGGCTTTAGGGTACTTAAACTCAGTATATCTGGCTAAATTTTTGCATACTCTTAGGTCAATGGCTTGACCTTTAGGGAAAACTGTCGGTTTCACTCAAAGCCCTCGACGAGGGCTAAAATGTGACCGCGAGTGAAATTCTCTTTATATGAGCTCTATTACGAAAAAAAATTTCCTCCGACGACCCCCCTTGAAATTTTGTGAGGTGGTAGGAGAAAGCCTTGGGGTGTCACAAAAAACTCGGCATATCTGGGAAAACTTCGTAAAGCGGTCAAAACTGACCAGTTGTATTTCCCTATATAATCTTTGTATTTTATTGGAAAAACAGAGGGTCATTTCAACGCATGCTTTAGGGTACTTAAACTCAGTATATCTGGCTAAATTTTTGCATACTCTTAGGTCAATGGCTTGACCTTTAGGGAAAACTGTCGGTTTCACTCAAAGCCCTCGACGAAGGCTAAAATGTGACCGCGAGTGAAATTCTCTTTATATGAGCTCTATTACGAAAAAAAATTTCCTCCGACGACCCCCCTTGAAATTTTGTGAGGTGGTAGGAGAACGCCTTGGGGTGTCACAAAAAACTCGGCATATCTGGGAAAACTTCGTAAAGCGGTCAAAACTGACCAGTTGTATTTCCCTATATAATCTTTGTATTTTATTGGAAAAACAGAGGGTCATTTCAACGCAGGCTTTAGGGTACTTAAACTCAGTATATCTGGCTAAATATTTGCATACTCTTAGGTCAATGGCTTGACCTTTAGGGAAAACTGTCGGTTTCACTCAAAGCACTCGACGAGGGCTAAAATGTGACCGCGAGTGAAATTCTCTTTATATGAGCTCTATTACGAAACAAAATTTCCTCCGACGACCCCCCTTGAAATTTTGTGAGGTGGTAGGAGAACACCTTGGGGTGTCACAAAAAACTCGGCATATCTGGGAAAACTTCGTAAAGCGGTCAAAACTGACCAGTTGTATTTCCCTATATAATCTTTGTATTTTATTGGAAAAACAGAGGGTCATTTCAACGCAGGCTTTAGGGTACTTAAACTCAGTATATCTGGCTAAATTTTTGCATACTCTTAGGTCAATGGCTTGACCTTTAGGGAAAACTGTCGGTTTCACTCAAAGCCCTCGACGAGGGCTAAAATGTGACCGCGAGTGAAATTCTCTTTATATGAGCTCTATTACGAAAAAAAATTTCCTCCGACGACCCCCCTTGAAATTTTGTGAGGTGGTAGGAGAACGCCTTGGGGTGTCACAAAAAACTCGGCATATCTGGGAAAACTTCGTAAAGCGGTCAAAACTGACCAGTTGTATTTCCCTATATAATCTTTGTATTTTATTGGAAAAACAGAGGGTCATTTCAACGCATGCTTTAGGGTACTTAAACTCAGTATATCTGGCTAAATTTTTGCATACTCTTAGGTCAATGGCTTGACCTTTAGGGAAAACTGTCGGTTTCACTCAAAGCCCTCGACGAAGGCTAAAATGTGACCGCGAGTGAAATTCTCTTTATATGAGCTCTATTACGAAAAAAAATTTCCTCCGACGACCCCCCTTGAAATTTTGTGAGGTGGTAGGAGAACGCCTTGGG